ACCTTGCATAGGTCTTTTTAATATAAGAAGATATAAATCCTACCTACCTTGAACTTAAAACAAATTTTTCCCTTCCTGCTGCAGGTTTTGGGTGAAAACTATAGTCCTCTTCAGAATCTATATCGAATTATTTTTAATATTTTTATGACACCAAATTTTAAACCTTTAATCATGGCCATGATTTTTTTTGGAAACATCTAAAAATCATTTTAGCACCAAGCCTGGTGAATAAACTGGATAATATGTTTTTTTCATTAAAAAGGAAAGAAGGGAGAGAAGAAAGGAAGAAGACACAAAAATGCCTGAAGGACTGATTTTGTTGGGTGACTCAAACTGACAAAATGTTAGTCCAAAAAGAAGTTTCTAAAAATGGCAGCAATTTGGAATAAGAATCTTCTTTGAAAGGAACAAGAAGATAACATTCATTTGGATATGAATGTCCTTTTGAACTTGACAAAAAAAAAAAAAAAAGCATGCAGTCACACCTTGTAAACCTCTGAAAACAGGAAAGAGGGAAGGGATCAGATGATGCAAAATCTCTCATTCGTCCTTTCTCAGATTCTACTGGGTTGGCTATATCCTCCTTGTTGGCTGTGTGTATACAGTACCTCTATAAGGAAAAACAGACTGTAACATATTTACTCCTATTGTTTTCTCTGGTTTTACAAGCTTTCCTGGAAACAGCAGAAATACCAGTCTGAAAATTGAAGTTAAAAGAAGCACATTCTAATACTGATTGTATATGTGATATTGGGTGTTACTTGTCCTCTCTGAACCCCAGTTTCCTCCTTTGTTCATCTGTAAAAGCGCGGGATTCATTTTAGGTCTGATTGGACTAATACAGTATTTTGTTCTTGCCACACTGCATTCTTCTCAGGGAAGCAACATGATTCTCATGTGTAGATGCAGATGTGGATTGACCAGGAATTCATAAAGCACGAGATTCAGGGCCACTCAACTGCACAGACTACTCCTGGGCCCTGGAGGTGATGATGTGTTCACAGGGTCATATATTTTTGTAAAATTTGCCAATGTAGGCACCTTTGTGTTTTTTAAAATTATTTCTTTCTTTCTCTTATTGTTGTTATTATTATTATTTTGAGACAGGAGCTCTCTCTCTTACCCAGGATGGAGTGCAGGGGCCTGACCATAGCTCACTGCAGCCTTTAACTCCTGGGCTCAAGCCATCCTTCTGCCTCAGCTTCCCAAGTAGCTGGGACTACAAGTGTGCTCTGCCATACCTGGTTAAATTTTTTTACTTTTTATTTTTGTAGAGATAAGGTCTTTCTATGTTCCCCAGGCTGGTCTCAAACTCTTGGCCTCAAGGGATCCTCCCTCCTCGGCTTCCTAAAGACCTGGGATAACAGGCATGAGCCACCATGCCCGGCCTGTATTCTTTTTCTTAAAGACAGTTTCTGACATTGCTTAAGGCTCAAGTTCCACAAAACGTGGATCTGCCCAAATATAAAAGACATGTTTCTTCCAAACCCACCATAAAATTTAGACTTCATGGAAAGTAGACAAAATCATCAAGTGATCAAATAAGAAAAGTCCAGAAGCTAGCTTTAAAACCAAGCACTTTCAAGTTCCTCCACCTCTCATCTCCTCTTTGACTTATTCTGTTTTGTTGTGTTGTTTTGTTTTGTTTAATAACAAGAAGTGGAGACTTTAAATGGTCAAATGGCTGACCCAAATTCACAACCTAGATTGAAGTCATAAAATGCACTCCTGATAATAGTTCTCTGCTCCAGCACCAGGGGCAACAAAAACCCTGAAAGCATGTGGCGATCTACTTCACTAACTGCACAAATCACAAACTGCAGAGTGAAACCAGTGAAACTGGATATACAGCCAGTTGTCATTCCTTGAAGGCCAGTTGTCACATTCACCTCATGTTTTTCTACATCATGTAAAATAGAGTGGCCAAGAGCTGTTTTTCAGGCACAGTGGAGATTGTTTCTACTCTCAATTACAGTGACTAAAATAGTAAGAAGTGCACTGAGAAAAGAGAATGGGCTGGCATTTATTTAATTAGTTTTCAATACAGAGTCAGTCTTCGTAAAAATGAGTTGGGGGTGTGTGTGCTTAGGGTTCCTCCCAGTTGCTGCATGCTCCTATGGCTTGCCTTCCTCACAGACCTCTGTGGCTTGCCATCTTCACAGCCCCTGCCTCTGGCTTGCCTTTGGGGTATAACCAGTAGTATGTGTTCTCCTGCCGCAGCCTCACAGGCCATCTCCATGTTCTTGGAGCTTGAACCAAGTTCCCTGGACTGTCTGGGTACCCACACCTCACCAAGCTGCACGGAGTCTCAGCTCCTCTCCACATGGGGGGCATCAACCCTGGTGTATTCTATTCCCGCAGGGAAAACATAGTCACCACGAGATTACTAAACACGAATCTGACTTCAGCTGCAGGGAAGCCAGGAGAATTGTCCTTGGGGGGTAAACTACACACACATACACATATTTATTCAAGTTGTTGGGAATGTGAGCTATGATGTGATGTTTCACAAGCCACTTATGCAATGGTCAGCCTACTTCCTGAAACTGATTCCGCTGGTGGTGGCGGTAGGAGAAATATATCATGGAAATTTTTTAAACAAACAATAATTATGCATGTATTAAACTGTACATTCCTTTGTCCATTAAATTCTATCCTTCCCTATCTTGTTCACTGCTGTGCTTCTAGTTCTTTGCTCTGCCTCTACCCATAACCAATATTGTCCTCTGGAGACATAAGTTGTCAAACTCTCTTAACATTCATTCATAAAAATGTTTATTGAGTGCCTACCTTGTGCCAGCACTGTGTTTTGCTCTTGGGGAAGGAAAATTAAGAAGAAATGGCTCCTGCCCTTATGGACTATACAGTCCAGTGAGAATGATGAAGTAACAGAAGCCACAGTGCACTGCAGTTAAGTATTGAGATCAGGTCCACTCATAGGATGTCTACACCTGAATCTATTCAAATGCTTTCAGGGGATGCCTGGAAGAGATGTTCAGTGGAGTCTCACACACACTCCCTAGATGTGACCAAAGAAGCTCTGCAGTGATCCAAATATTTCATTTGGAGAAAACATTCTACTGTTTTCAACACATATAATGAGTATCTAGTGCTTTGGTTTTCTATTGCTGCCACAATAAGTTACCACAAACCTGGCAGCTTAAAACAACACTCATTTATTATTTCACAGTTTTATAGGTCAGATGTCCAGCAGACTTGGCTGGGATTCTGCTTAGGATCTCCCAAGTCCAAACTCAGGGTATCAGGGCTCTCTAAGGGAGACTCCACTCTCTGGTCCATTCATGTTGTCAACAGAATTTATTTCCTTCTCATGGTTCCCATGTTTCCCCTCTGTCTTGAAGCCAGCAATAGTGGATTTAGCACTTCTCATACTTCACAACCCTCTGACTTCCTCTGTACCTTCCTCTTATGATTTCAAGGGCTCATATGATTACATCTGGCCCACCTGGCTAATCCAGGATAATTGCCCTAATTTAAAGCTTTTTAGGAATAAGTCATTGATACATAATATCTCACAAGTCTATTTCTCTTCCTTAGGAAACATGTCATTTCCCCCATATTTTGTCTATAGAATTTTTGTCCTAATCCTAAATAGGAAGTTGGCAGTTAACCCTAACACAATGAAAAAACAAAATTCTGTGGAAGTTCAGTCACGAGAAAGAAGTCCGTGAGAGAGATTCACAAGTTTTAAATTCTACACCTCATACCTGTTAGAATGTCTGTTATTTAAAAAGAAAGAAAAAGAATAACAAGTGTTGGTAAGGATGTGGAGGAATTGGAACCAGTGTTGGTAGGACTGTAAAATGGTGCAATTGCTATGGAAAATAGTGTGGTAATTCCTCAAAAATTAAAAATAGAACTACTGGCCGGGCGCGGTGGCTCACGCCTGTAATCCCAGCACTTTGGGAGGCCGAGGCGGGCGGATCACAAGGTCAGGAGATCGAGACCATGGTGAAACCCCGTCTCTACTAAAAATAGAAAAAAATTAGCCGGGCACAGTGGCGGGCGCCTGTAGTCCCAGCTACTTGGGAGGCTGAGGCAGGAGAATGGCGTGAACCCGGGAGGCGGAGCTTGCAGTGAGCCGAGATTGCGCCACTGCACTCCAGCCTGGGCGACAGAGCAAGACTCCATCTCAAAAAAAAAAAAAAAAAAAAAAAAATAGAACTACTATATGATCCAGCAATCCCATTTGTGGGTATATATCCAAAAGAATTGAAAGCAGGGTCTCAACATGCTCACAGCAGCATTATTCCCACAATAGCCAAAAGGTAGAGGCAACCCAAGTGTTCATCAAAGGATGAATGGATAAACAAAATGTTGTATATACAGCGGGATATGATTCAGCCTTAAAAAGGGAGAAAATCCTGTCACATGCTACAACATGGGTGAACCTTGAAGACACGCTAAATGAAATCATCTAGTCACAAAAAGATGAATACTGTATGATTCCACTCATATGAGGTACCTAGAGTAGTCAAATTCATAGAAACAGAAAGTAGAATGGTGGTTACTAAGGGGCTGAGGAGAAGAGGAAAAATGGAGTTGTTATTTAAAGGGTATAGAGTTTCAATTCTGCAAAATGAAAAAGTTCTGGAGATCTGTTTCACGACAATGTGAACATACTTAACACTACTGAACTGTATGCTATAAATGGCTAAGTGGTAAATTTTATATAAGTATTAATATCATATTTTTTAAAACAGAATATACCAACACCAAGAGTGAACCCTAATTTAAACTATGGACTTTGGGTGATAATGATTTTTCAGTTTAGGTTAATTGATTGTAACAAATGCACCATTCTGGTACAGGATGTTGCTAGTTGGGGAAGCTGTGCTTGTATGGGGGCAGAAGGTATAGGAATTCTCCATACTTTCTGATCAATTTTGCTGTGAACCTAAAACTTCTCTAAAGAATAAATCTAGTTAAAAAACAGTTCTGAATTTTAGACTATGGAAATTGTAAACATCCAATAATACCTTCAGAAAAACTTGCTTATGCCATGGGTGAGGACGTCAGTGGATGGCCTCAAAGACAACATTAGTGTGTTATAATCCAAGCCATAACCTATGGTCAATTCTTGCTCCTTTGGGAGTCACTCCTTTGGAAGAAGCAGAACTCCTTCTTTCTGCATCTGCAACAGAAGGGAACACATTAAGTGACCACTAAGGCCAATTTGACCAATACATAACTTTATGAGACTATGATTGTAGGTTCCATACGTAATTTTCATTGAGTGAATGGTTGTAAAATAGATGACTTAACTTAGGATTTGTGTTTGTGATTCATGATTATGTAATACTTCCCAGATTCCCCATTGAGAGATGTAACAACAATGGCTGTGTCCATGAATTCACACATAACTATAATTTGAATTTTCATATGCAGGACCTAAAAGCAATTAAGCTGTCCTTCCTTAAAAAAAATACAGCCACAAAACAAAGCTCAACGAATTTTAAAAGATCAATATTACAGAAACTATCTTTTTCTAAAAGTGGTAAAAATAAACTAGAAATCAATAGCAGAAGGAAAACTGGAAATACACAGATAAGTGGAAATTTAAAAACACCACCTTGGTGCAGCACACCAACGTGGCACAAGCATACATATGTAACAAACCTGCACGTTATGCACGTGTACCCTAGAACTTAAAGTATAATAATTTAAAAAATAAAAATAAATAAAAAATAAAAAAAATAAAAACACCATCTTAAACAACCAATAGATCAAAGAAGAAGTCATAAGGGAAATTAGAAAATATCTTGAGACAAATAAAAACAAAGCTTACGAGATGTAGGAAAAGCAGTGCTAAGAGGAGAGTTTGTAGCTATAAACATATGCAATTAAAAGAAGAAGAAAGATCTCAAATTAAAAACCTAACTGTACACCTCAAGGAACCCGAAAAAGGAAAACAAACTAAACCTAATGCTAGCAGAAGGGAGAAAATAAAGATTAGAGCAGAGACGAATGAAATAGAAAATAGGAAAACAATAGAAAACTACATAAAATTAAGAGTTAGTTATTTGAAAATACCAAAAATCGACAGTGCCTTCAACAAATGGTATTGGGAAAACTAGATATCCTCATGCAAAAGAATGAAAATTGAACCCTTATCTTACACCATGTTCAAAAATTAACTTGGGCTAACGACCCAAAGGTAAGACCTCAAACTTACAAAACTGTTAGAAGAAAAGGGGGGAAAGCTTTATGATATTGAATTTGGCAATGATTTCTTAGAAATGACATGAAATAGGCAACAGATGCAAAATAGGTAAATGAGACTCTTTCAAACTCAAAAACTTTCGTTCATCAGTAGACACAATCAGCACAGTGAAAAGACAACCTATGGAATGGGAAAAATATTTACAAATTATATATCCGATAAAGGGTTGGTGTCCAAAATATATAAAGAACTCCTACAACTTAACAACAAAAAAAATCAAATAACTTGATTTTTAAATGGGCACAGGAATTGAATAGACATTTCTGCATTTTATTTTTTGTTAATGTTCTATTTATATCCTGTTTTCATTTTGTATTGCGCATTTTTCTTATTGATTTGTGGGAATTATTCATATATTTCATATATTATTGATATCAATATTTTATCAGTTATATGCATACATTGCTTTTCTTTTGCTACTGTAACAAATTGTGACCAACTTAGTAGCTTGAACAACACATATTTATTGTTTTACATTGCTGTAGATTGGAAGTTCGACATGGGTCTTAATGAACTAAAATCATAGTGTTGACTGGGGTGCATTTATGGAGCAGAGAAGGAAGAATCCCTCTTCTTGCCTTTTCCAGCTTCTAGAGGCCACCCCTGTTCCCTGCTCGCGGCTCCTTCCTACGTCTTCAAAACCCAGCAATGTTTCATCTCTGACCATTCTTCCATAGTCGTACATCGTCTGACCACAGCCAAGAAAAGTTCTCCATTTTTAAGGATTCATTCAGGATTATCTCCCCCATCTCAAGGTCCTTAACCTTTGTCACAAATACAAATTCCCTTTTGCAATGTAAGGTAACATATTCACAGATTCTGGGGATTAGGATGTCAAGAGAATGGTTTGATAAATCCCCATAAGCCCATTCCCCAGATTCAACAATTACCAACATTTCATCACATTTGCATTAGCTCTTTGGTCCTTGCTTTTTAAAATATTTTTTCAGTGAGGTACAGCTTACCTACAACAAAATACATAGATTTTAAGAGCAAGATATAGGACATTTCTATCCCTCAGAAGGTTTCCTCCTGCCCCTTTGCTGAATCCTACCCCCTACACCAGCATCGCCAGCATCCCATAGGCAGCCATTGTTTTTATTTCCATCTTAAATGTAGTAATAGAATCTTTTGCAGCTGGCTTCTTTTAATCAAAATAATGTCTTAGAAGTGTGTTCATGTTGTTCCGTGTATCAGTAGTTCCTCCCTTTTTACTGCTGAGTATTATTCTAATGCCTAAATATGCCACAATTGGCTTATCTATTCTACTTGTCGAGAGACATTTTACTTGTTTCAAGTTCGGGTTATTATGAATAGAGCCGCTATTGATATTCTCATAAAAGCCTTTCTATGGACATATGTGTTCATTTCTCTTGTGTAAATACCTATAAGTCATGGAGTAGGTATATACTTAACTTCATAATAAAGTTCAGAAGAAACTGAAAAACAGTTTTTCAGATTACCTAATTTTATTTTCTCAGCAGCAATGTATGAGAATCACAGTTGCTTCACATCCTTGCTTACGTTTCTTATTGTGTATCTTTTTTATTTTATCTATTTTACTTAGTATGAAGTGGTATTTCCTTGTGATTTTTATTATATTTCCCTAACGTCTAATGACGTTGGGCAGCCTTACACGAGCTTACTGGCCTTTCATAACTCATTTGTTTTTGTGTCACTAATCATTCTATTTTTGAGTTGAGTTCTTTATACAGTCCAGATCTAAGCATTTTGTCAGATACAGGTATCACAAATATTTTCCACCAGTCTATGGTTTTGATTCATTTCTTATATATCTTTTAATGAGTATACTTTTTTTTGCTTTTTTATTGAAGTGTAATTGACATACAATAAACTGTACCTGTTGAAAGGGTTCAATTTGATGAACTTTGACACATGCATACACCTTTGAAAACATCACTACAATCAAAATAATGAACATTTCTATCATCCCCAAAATTTCCTGGTGCCCTTTAATAATCCATACCTCCCTCCACCCCTGTCCTCACACAACTACTTACCTTTCTGTCACTGTGTATTAGTTCGCATTTCTTAAAATGTTACATATAATACATGGAATAATTTGATATGTATTCTTTGTTATACCTAGCTTCTTTCACTCAGCATAGTGACTTTGAGATGGATCCTGACAATTGTGTATATCAATAGTTCATTCCTTTTCATCACTGAGTACTATTTCACTGCATAGATATACCATAATTTATTTAACAGTTGATGGCTATTTGCACTTTGGGAGGTTTTGAATATTACACAAACAGCTGCTATGAACATTCATGTACAAGTCTCTGTGTGTACATGTTTTCATTTACCTTGCATAAATACTTAGGAGTAAAATGGCTGAGTTGTATGGTAAGTGTATCTTTAGTCTTTTAATAAATTGTCAAACTGTTCTCAAAGGGTTTTATAGCACACATTGTCAGAAGGGCCATGCTCTCTCTGAAGGCTGTGGAAAAGAATCCTTCCTTGCCTCTTTCCTAACTTCTTATGGTTGTTGGCAATTTTTCGTGTTCATTGACTTGCAGCTGCATCACTTCAATCTCTGTCTCTCCCTTAACATGGACTTCTTCCCTGTGTTTCCTTTGTATCTGTGTGTCCAAATATCCCTCTTCTTCCTCTTACAAAGTCACCATTCACAGAATTAGGGCTTATCCTAATCCAGTATGATTTGCTTACATCACCAAAGATCCTATGTGCAAAAATAGATTCACAGGTACCAAAGGTTAAGACCTCAACATATCTTTTGTGGAACACAATTCAACCCACAACAATGTGAATTTATCTTTACTAGTCCTACTTGTAATTTTGAGTTCATAAGTGCACACTTGCTATGAGGAGTCATGTCTTTAATTCAGGAAAAATGTAAAATACCTCTTAAAATATCTAGCATTTTATTCAGTCTCTTCCTTTGGAACTCCTCTTAAAAATATGGAAAATCATAGATCTACTTGCTGTGTCTCTTAACGCCTTTTTCATATTTCTGAATCTCTTTATGTTTTTGTTCTGTTTTCTGGGTTAATTATTCTATACTATCTTCCGAATTTCTAATGCTATTTTTAACTGTGTTAAAACTATAACTCATTATACCTAGTGAGGATTTTTGCTTTTGTTTTTTTCATTTCAGTGACTATATCTTTTAGCTTAAATGTATCTTTTGAGTTTTCTTCTTTTATATTTTAGCTGTCATTACTGTGTGTTAGGAGCAGATAAAAGTGTGTCAAAGTAACAATTTATGTAATCATCTAGATCAAAAGTCTTCTTAAACTCCCTCCCAACAGGTTCCTAACCCTAAGAATTTGGCACTGTTTACCCATCCTTCTATTTTGAAATGCTCTTCTCCATTGGCTTCAAGATAAAACTCTGTCCCTCTTCTCCTGTACTCCTTCTTAGGTTTCTTCCGGGTTAATCTTACCCTGGTCTCCCTTCAGATGTTGAGTGATCTCATACAATTCTATTATTCTGTAGGTAAGAAAAAGTTACTAAAGGTTTTTGAAAAGAAGAATAGAATACTTCAGACATCTCTGTGAAAAGGATTTTTTTTAACCCTATATCGAAGAAACTCTTTGCTACATTCAGCTATAGATATGGATTCAGATATCCACAGGAAAATTGCTCTACCCAGAACTCTAATCATTCTTCACTGCAGAATCAGCGTGACAAATTATCTTGTACGGACACAGATTCTTTCTCCACAGTGACTGTAACTCACCTTTGATATCTGACAGGATTAAAGCAAGTACTGGCAGGTTGGCAACTGGCAGAAATCAAACATGGGGCTACTCTGAAATGCAGATGGTTCTTCTTGGCAATTAATCTTTCTCAAGGCAAAATGGGTGCCTTGGTTTGGAGGTTGTCTGTTACCCAATAGTAGTACCAAATGATAGCCACATGTATAACTCCCTTGGAAAAGCTGGGGGAAGGGATTCCTCACTTGCTACCCTTCCAAATGATAAAAGTAATTTCAGTAGTCCAAAAGAGAAAAGACCAGACCAAGATGCACCCAGTTGCCCTGGAATAATACTTACAGTCCTAATAATAATAATAATAATAGCTAACATGGAAAATGTTTTTACGTAGTCAGGTATTTTTCTGAGTACTTTATATGTATTAACGAACAATCCTCATAACTTCTCTATAAAGTGAGTACTATTTTTACCCCCATTTAACACCTGACAAAACTCAAGAACAGAGAGATTAAATAAGTTGATCACAGCTGCAATACATGTTATAGGCCCCCAACTCTTGGGCTTCTTTTCTATTCTTCAAGAATTACCTTCACCTTCTCTAATCACTCAGACACAGAGTGACCAGATAAAACACAGGATATCCAATTAAATGTGAAGCTCCAATAAACAGCAAATAACTTTTTAGTATAAATACGTCTTATGTTTGGGACATACACTAAAGTATTATTTCTTGACTATCTAAAATCCAAATTACCTGGATATTCTGTATTTTTATTTGCTAAATCTGGCAACCCTGCCTAGGGACTTTGTGTTCTCCCTACCTCATCAAAATTGCTCGTCAAGAAAATTATAGGCTGGGCGTGGTGGTTCACACAAGTAATCTCAGCACTTTGGGAGGCTGAGGAGGGTGGATCACTTGAGGTCAGGAGTTCAAGACCAGCCTGGCCAACATGGTGAAACCCCATCTCTTCTAGAAGTACAAAAATTAGTCAGGCACGTGGCTCGTGCTTGTAATCCCAGCTACTCAGGAGGAGAATCAATTGAACTGGGAGGCAGAGGTTGCAGTGAGATGGCACCAGCCCAGTTAACAGAGCCAGATTCTGCCTCAAAAAAAAAAAAAAAAAAAGAAAAGAAAAAAAAATGTAATTGTCCATGTATTTTTTTTTTAACTGAAGTCAACCTGTCCTCCTTCTCAGATATAGTCACAATTTAAACCTCATTTCAAATTTTGATATAATTTTAGAACTCAGTAAACAAGTGAGGGAGATTTTAGGGGAATAACAAGAAAACTTATTTCCCTAGCCCCGAGAGTTCACTGGTGACCTTTTTGGACTAAGCCCTATCTAGAGCTATTCTGGATGGATATTCAGGATAAGCACCAGAAGAAGCCTCACCCAGACTATCCTGCTAGGCCAAAAACATCTATTCCAGGGTCTCACAACTGCATTTGGTGCTGGACAGTCCTCTACTGTGGTGGCCTGTCCCATGCATTGTAGGATGTTCAGCGCATCCCTGGCCTCTACCCAGTAGATGCCTATAACACCCACCCCTCTAGTTGTGAAAACTAAAAACATCTTCAGACATTGCCAAATGTCTTCTGGAGGCAAAATCCTCCTTGGCTAAGAACCACTGATCTAGGGCAATCCCAAACACAGGAATCTTCTAGAAGGTGAATCCAAGAAATCTTTGAATGAAATAAATACACTCCCATCTTGAAACAAACCAGGTGAGCATTTAATTGGCATTCTTATCACCTTGGCTGGTCGGTGTGACAAGGGTTCTCTTGGCTGCATTTGTCTAATTTCCCTTCAGTGGGCCACTACAGAACGCACATTTTTCAAAGGATGGTCTCATTCATATAAATAGATAAGAAAAAACTGTCGAGGCTGCCTTATCTAATTAACTTTTATACAAAAATGGTATAGTTCTAGAAAGCTCACTTTAAAATAATAAGATAATGGACCCTCTTAGGAATATAAAGGCTTTTATTTAGGCTAAGAAAATTTAGAGATGGAAAACATTACAAAATTTTGAAAGCTATCCTTTGAAACGTAATTACTTTCCCTATACTCAGTTTATATATTGCATTTTTTAAAGTCATAGAATTTTTGTTTACAGCTGCAGAGTCCAAATGATGAGGTTTTGATGCAACAAGGTGGCGACTACAAATGTGTGAAATATTAGTGTCTGTACAGCCCAGAAACCATGCCAGTTTTTACAGGCTTGGTGCCCCTATGCACTGCTGGACTTAGAGAAAGTCAGCCTGGTTTATACTGATCTAGAACCCGTTAAATTCATCTTTCACTCTTGGTTTCAGCTGTGGTAAAAACCACTCCACTGCATTACATCTCTAGCTGAAGTGATACATCAAGTCATATCTTCACCTCCTCCTTTCCCTCCCATGCACACCCACTCCAGATGCTGGTATCATCTCCTTAGTATTTTTCCTAGATTGGGAATCAGAAAGGATGCAGTTCTTTAATATCCTTCAGTTCCATTTTCATTGCAGATATTGAAGGAAGAAAGATTTCTAGACAACCTAAGCCTTTCGCCAGTACCCCAGCCACAACAGCAGTGGGCTATTAGGGCATCTATAGTTAGCTGTGCAGCAGTTGTGGTCACAGTAGTTAACATTTTGAAATGCTTAATATATATCAGACTCCGGTCAAAGAAATCTACATGCATCATCACATTTACTCTTCACAACAATCTTATGAAGTACTATTATTATCTCTATTTTGAGATAACTTGAGACACAGAAAGGTAAAGCAACTCATTCAAGATCACATAGCTAGTAAGTGATGGTGCCATCCTTTGAACCCATATGCCTGACTTCGAGGTTCTCCCCGTGACCCACTGTGCCATGGTGCACAGTGCTGTAAATTCCACTGAAGAGCATGCAGTTTATGCACAGGACAACAAGGCATCATTGGTGATCAGATGTGTGTTTCAGAAAGATAACTCTGCAATATCTGGAAAAAGACTGGAGGCAGAGAGGTCAATCCAGAAGCACTGCGGGTGGCAAGATAAGATAGCCTGAACTAGGACAATGCCTGTGGAGAAGGAAAGAAGAAAGTAAAGTCGGCCGGGCGCGGTGGCTCAAGCCTGTAATCCCAGCACTTTGGGAGGCCGAGACGGGCGGATCACGAGGTCAGGAGATCGAGACCATCCTGGCTAACACGGTGAAACCCCGTCTCTACTAAAAAATACAAAAAACTAGCCGGGCGAGGTGGCGGGCGCCTGTAGTCCCAGCTACTCGGGAGGCTGAGGCAGGAGAATGGTCTAAACCCGGGAGGCGGAGCTTGCAGTGAGCTGAGATCCAGCCACTGCACCCCAGCCTGGGCGACAGAGCAAGACTCTGTCTCAAAAAAAAAAAAAAAAAAAAAAAGAAAGTAAAGTCAAGGAGGATTGTGGAGGCAGATGCAACAGAATCTGAAGGTTGAGTGGCTATAGGAGTAAGGATGAAGGGGATCAAAGATGATGCCGAGATATCAACTTGCTGATGCTATCATGATCCAGGGAACACAAAAAGTGTGAGAGTGAGAGATAGAGAACTAAATGCAGGATATGTTTCCAACAGACAGGTTTCTGCTGCAAAAGATACTTTTAGAAATCTCATTAAATGGTGCAACGCTGATCTAAGGGTGAACTAATGGGCAAGTAGCATTTGCCAGCAGGTGAGGGTAAAGGTGTATGGGGCCCCATGACATCAAGCTGCCTGTTTGAAAAACAAAACAAGAACTGTGAGCCTAGTAGAGTGCTGACTGCCAATATCCAGATAGGAATGAGCTGGAGGGAGAAATGAATGACTCTCACCATGGGCTGATCCTTCCCTTTCAATAGCCTCCAGATGGTCTGGGTACCAAGCGTGGCAAAGACAGAAGTCTCTCAAGTAAACCTGAGAAAAAGGAATAATGAAGCTCTTGTCCTGCTGTCCTGTAAGGGGGTCAGAAGGATGGCAGGAGAAGTGGGAAAGAATGAAGAGGAAAATCACTTTTGACATGTGGATGCTTCATAGACATAAAGGGGATTTCCACAGAAATAGCACACACATTCTAAAGCAAACATCAAACTATCAGCCAATGCCCCCATCACCCGAGCTATCTAATGTGTAATTCCAGAGGGACCCAAGTTGCCAGAGAACATCCATTAGATGCTAACTCCTTTGAGCAACAACTGCCTCCTATCAAATGAATCTTCAGATATCAATGCAAGAAGGAAGGGAAAAGGTCTGGAGTTTTAGCATACAGAGAATATTAGCCATCCAACATCTCCAAAACTTGTATAAATGATACCTAGACAATATTAAAGCAATGTTTATTGAATGATCATTAAGTACCATTAATATTAAGTACTCTGTGCTGAGTGCTTTCCATTCAATTTTCTTTTTTTAAGGATGTAAGGCTTTTAATGTTGTCCAGGTTGGCCTTGAACGTGTAGCCTTGCCTCCTTGTGTGCCAGGACAACCGGCCTGAGCCACCACGGCTCCCAGTCCATTCAACTTTCACAATGACATAGATCGTGCTAATATCATCCCAAATAAGGAAACTGATGCTTAGAGAGATCATCAACTTACCAATATCATAGAGCTAATCAGTGGCAGAGTCAGAATTGGAACCCAGGTCTGTCTGACTTCAGAGGTCAAGCTCATCAGCACAGTACTGTTACCATGACTTTGAAGTTCATCAGCACAGTACTGTTCCCATGACCTTGAAGCTTATGAAAGAAATAATGTGTTTCTTGGGCTGTCTGTCCATATCGCCATTGTGAGGAAATCAGCATGGAGCAGCCTTATGCAGTGCTAGGTGAAGGCGTGACTATTTCCTGCCACAAGAATGAGCCTCATTTTCCCTTCTCCACCCAGTGCAAGGAACTGCCAGGGAGAATTAGGCTCACTAAGTTGATCACACCTCTACAGTCTTCAATTTGAAAAGATAGTTAAGAATGAAGATATTTCACAGTGAATATAGCAAAGCACTCAGGCCCTGTCACTAGAATCTCTTTAAAAAGATTTATGCAAGAGAAAAATGTAGATATTTTAAAGAAAGAATCTGAATAGACTCTGAAAGTAGAGGGCTTCTGCAAAGCTAGTCTAGACATTTACTTGTTATCCATGAACTCTAAAATGTGTTGGAATAGAATCTGAATACGCTTAATAGATTTCATATAGACTTAAATTAAACTTATGGAACTTACCTAATTCAATTCCCCTTGAAAAAGCAAGTCATATTCTCCAGTGATGGATCAAGCATGTTTCTGGAAGTCAATGGAAAGTGCTCAGAAGTAGGAGAGCTATGCCTTCGCACATGAGAGAAGGCTGTGGCAAGCAGCTTTGCACCTGTGGATAGAGGCTGGGCTGACTTTTTACGTTGCTTGACATTCACTTGGTAGCTCTGGGCTTCCTTCACACACCCACAATGGTATCTTCCCCTGTTGTCTTCAGAACAGCTGAGAACAACAGATCCATGCCTTGATAGCCCCCAAATACATGTACCTCTCTGTACGTCTGTATATCATGCAAAATTGCCAATGTGCTTTTAGGAGATCTCATCTCCCTGCTTTTTTGACCTTAAAGATTTATTGACTGGATGCAGTGACTCACGCCTGTAATCCCAGCACGTTGGGAGACTGAGGGGAAGGATTGCTTGAGCCAGGAGTTCAAGACCAGCCCGGGCAACACGGTGAAACCCTGTCTCTACAAAAAAAATATTTTAAAATCAGCTGGGCATAGTGGCACACATCTGTAGTCACAACTACTCAGGAGGCTGAGGTGGGAGGATCACTTGAGCCCTAGAGGTTAAGGCGTAGTAAGCCATGATTCCACTGCACTCCAGCCTGGGTGATAGAGAAAGACCCTGTCTCAAAACAAACAAACAAACTCTCCATTTAATGGAATGATGGAACATATAGATGACTGTATTCATTTTCTACTGCTACTGCAACAAATTACCACAAATGTGACAGACAGCTCAAAAAATTACAATGTATTATTTTCCAGTTCTGGAGGTCAGAATTCCAAAATGGATGGGCAAGAGTGTGCTCCTTTGGGAGGCTCTGGGGAGAATCCCTTTCCTTACCCTTCCTAGCCTACAGAAGTAGCCTGCATCCTTGGCTCACGGACCCTTCCTCCATTTTCAAAGCCAACAGCTTAGCATCTTCCAACCTCTCTCTGATTGTCAACCTCCTTCTTCCCTCTTAAAAATATTTTGTGATTATATTGGGCCCATCTGGATAATCAAGGATCATCTCCCTATCTCAAGATCCTGAACCAAATCGCATCTACAAAGTCAGTTTTATTACATAAGGGTAACATGTTCTCAGGTTCCAAGGATTAGGACGTGGACATCTTTGAAGGCCATTATTCAGCATAGCACAATGCTGGTTATTTTTAATGAACTTTCTTACTGGAATAAGTTGAAAACCATATGTTAGTCCCCAGGAGTTTTGTTTTGTTTTAAGCTTTACTATCCATGAATTGCAAAAGTTGAGCTATGATTGTTATGAACCTCTTGCCAGTTTAAAGTTGAACATGAGCTTGGATAGGAAAAAGGACAGCAGAGTACAGAGAACCTGTCTTGTGACCACCCAAAAAAGGAGTACAAAAAGATTACTGGTTTTTATTCATGCACTCAACAAGCATTTACTTATCAAAGCACAATCAGAGGTTTTTATGAAATACTTTGTAAGTACTGAGCACCATGGAGATGTAAAGAAAGATAAAACATGATTCCCAAAAGGCTCACAGTACAGCCGGTCCTTCCTATCCACGGGTTCCACATCCACAGATTTGACCAACCAAGGATCAAAAATATTTTTTAAAAAACAGTAAAAAATAATACAAATAAAAATATAGTATAACAACTATTTACTTAGCATTTACATTGTGTTAGGTATTAAAAGTAATCTGGAGATGATTTAAAGTATACGGGAGGATTGGGTGGATTTTATGCAAATATTATGACATTTTATATAAAGGACTTAAAAGCAAACATGGATTTTGGTACCTAAGGGGGTCTTAGAATCAATACCCAGCAGATACTGAGGGATGACTATTGTTGGAGCAACTGTAACTAGGAACCAGAGAACAACCAAAGGCTAAGGGATTTGTTTACATTTCATTTGGAATGCAGAGCCTCATTTTCTATTATTCTTTATCCTGGCTGCAGCCAGGCAGAAGAACTAAATCACACTGAAACAGTGAGACATGCCCACCAGCATTTTGGTAGTGGATATTCAAGAGCTGAACACCATCAGAATCAGAATACATACATGAGGTTCGCCTTGGAACTGCAATCACATTTTGGCTGCCAGGACACGGAGTCAAAACAAAAGAGAGAGTTGTTGACCAAAGGTGTTCACAAATACGGGTTTAAAGGGCTATGAATTAATGCTTCCACATGGCTTTAATTCAGGGAGGTCACACAAATGGAATTTTTAAGAAAATATTATAGCCAAATGAATATAAAAGTGGTATCTTAAATTTCATGATACTTTTAAAATAATGAATCTATAGCATAGTCTGAGAAGCCAAGTTGAGTGTGAATTTATTCCCAAGCTATTGTTGTACATGAAAGCTGCAGAAATAGCCGCAAGTCCTAGTTCACCTGACCAATGCCATCATTTCCAGGTGACGCCACCCCCAGGGGGAAATTCTGGGGCTCAGCCACTGGAAAGGGCCTCATCCCGGCTCAGAGATATGGCAGGATGGGCTCCATCAAGCTCATTCTGCAGGTGCCTCCCTCCTGTGAAGCCTCAACAGCTCAACAGGGCAAGAGGTGCGTAGGGCCCTGGGGCTTGGCATCTGCATGAGAAACAATCTTCCCACCTCCACCTTCACTGCTTTAGTAAATGCTGTGAGTGAAATGAAGTGAATGATGTGTTGACAGTAACAGCTAATATTTACTTAGAATCTACTGTATATCAGGCAACATTCTAAGTGCTTAACATGTATTAGGTCAATGTAATGGTTAATACTAGGTGTCAACTCGGTTGGATTGAAGGATGCCTGGAGGGCTGGTAAAGTATTATTTCTGGGTGTGTCTGTGAGGGTGTTGCCTGCGGAGATTGACCTTTGAGTCAGTGGACTGGGAGAGGAAGACTCACCCTCAATGTGGGTGGTCACCATCCAATCAGCTGCCAGCGTGGCTAGAAGGAGGGACAAGCTGGCTTGCTGGGACTTCTGGATTCCATCTTTTTCCATTGCAGGATGCTCCCTTTTGCTCCCCCTGCCCTTGGACATCAGGCTCCAAGTTCTTTGGCCTTTGGACTCTGGGACTTGTACCAGTGGCTTGCGGGGGTCTCTCAGGCCTTTGGCCACACACTGAAGGCTGCACTGTTGGCTTCCATGGTTTTGAGGCTTTTGGACTTGGACTGAGCCACTACCAGCTTCTTTCTTCCCCAGCTTGCAGATGGCCTATTGTGGAACTTCGCCCGTGATCATGTGAGCTAATTCTCTCTAAGAAACTCCCTTTCATATATACATACATTCTATTGGCTCTGTCCCTCTGGAGAACCCTGACTAATACAGTCATTTCATCTTCTGGAAATCTTATGAGGTAGGTAGTATTATAATTCCCCACCCCCATCTTATCAATGCAAAACTAAAGCACAGAGAACTTGACTTGCCCAGTTAGTAAGTTGTGATATTGGTATGTGAACCTAAATAGTGTGACCCAGAGCCATACTCTCAACCATACATTAGACCACCTTGCTTTATAGCTAGGGCCAGCTTGGGGAGTAGAGTGCCTCTTTAGAGAAACAATCCAAGTGGATGGAAAAGAGCCCAGCAGTAAGAGCCATGCAAACCAGGCTGGGATCCATAGGAGCTATGAGCCTTTGAGGGCTTGGCTGAAGTATCTGTAAAGTTCATGTTAAGGTTTTGCAGGGCTGCTGTCATCTGGCCTGGAGTGCTGCAGTAGGCAGGGTACCTCCTGGCCTCTGGATGAAGTCCCAAAAGCTCATCTTCAATGGCAGAACCCAGCTAATATGCACAAAGAGGTCTGCTTTCTTCATCTGTACTCACTGAAGAGCTGGGGCGCTGCTTTCATTCTTAAAAATAAATTCAAAGCAAGCTACAGAAATTCTGATACACAAAGAGGTCTGCTTCTTCAGTGATCACAGAATGGGAACATTTCCAGTTTGCTGGGCCCTGCTCCGGAAGTGTTACCAGGCTATCACAAAGGACTCTGAAATCCTTAAGGGAGTTCATTACAGCTCCTGGAATCCAATGGCTAGTAGAAGAAAATACTTTCTTAAAGTTTCTCAGACATCTGTTTCTTCCACAACAACAAAAATTTAAAAAAAACCATTTTTTTAATCTATCAAAATTGTCAGTTATTCTCCATACTACCAGCAGTCCATCAATATGTTAATGCTATACTTCAAGATGATTGCTTAGTCAAATAGAGAAAAACAAAATAGGCATGTCATATATACACCAGATTCAAGAAATAAAGACTGCCTTCTTGCTGCACGTTTATTGGGTAGATTTTTGCTATATTTTGTGATTGCATTTATCTTTCATAGGTGACCTCAGTTTTCAACCACAGAAGAAGCGTCATGAAAATCTGATGCCAAGGCCACTGATACCTTCATGAAACTCATCTGCCTCAGTGGATTCCAGGGGAAGTACATGGAACAGCATCACGAGTGAACTACGGGTCTGCCACTGACATTCACAAATCACCATCGAGGCTGCTGAAACCTAGCTATTGGACATTGGTTTCTGAGTGCAAAATTAGCTTTTTTCAAATGAATTTGAGCAGGCCCTAGAACTAATTTTAAATTTATTTTTAGTTGATTCATAGTGAAAGTATTGATGCATTAGGGAGTTTCTAGGGCCAAAACTGCATCTTTCATTGTTATTAAAGGACTTTCATTGTGTGTTTTGTGTGTGCATTTTGAAAAAATATTTAGGACACATGAAGCCATTCTCTCTTGGTTATACAGATGATTTGTGCTTCAAAACCCCCAAAACCTAAGTCTCACCTGAACGAGGTAGTTACATATTTGAAGGAAATATGGATATTTTGTCAGATTGTTACATATTTGAAGAAAAAGAACCGAAACCTCATGTGAAGTACTACCAAATAGTTGGGAAAAGACATGTATTTAAATGTTAGTGTACTACTATTGCTTTCGTTTCGCGGAGAGCTGAGTCTGAAAAAAATGCCATCTTTATGCAGGGTATAGGTTGTGTGTGTGTGCGTGTGTGTGTGTGTGTGTGTGTGATGTAAGAATGTTTGATACACTTCATTGACATGAAAATCATTGGGAAATGGGAAAAGAGCCAATGATGAGGTGAAATTTAGGCACTGGTGGTCTTTAAAGCATAAACCAGTTCAAAGTCTACAGGGAGTAGATGAAAAAAATTTAGTTATATTTCTCCCAATGGAAAGAGTGGGGACATGGATGGCAATGGTTAAGGCAGTGACTACTACCTTGAGAAAGCCAGGCTGGAACTGTGGGAACTGACCCTGAATGCTATTCAGTCTTGGTACTCTGACATTTACATTTGAAAGCCAACATTTAAAGTGCAAGTATGCACCTGGCCATCTTCTAGGAGTGGTGCTAAAACA